ATAGTTAATAATATAACTTTCTTTATTAACGTCTTTTTTATTCTTAATATAAATATTATAGTTATTATTATTATTCTTTATATTATTAGTACTATAGCTTTTATTATTAGTAAAGTTAGTATCTATAGCGTTTAGTGTAAGTCTCTTAATCTAATTAAAAAGTATAGCTTATAACTTTATATAGTTATTACTTTAGTAAGCTTTATTACTATACTTAAAGTATATCTTATTTTTATAGAGAATATTACGCTAGATATTAGTTTAACTAAAGTTTATAAATTACTTTACTATTTAGACTAAGCTACGCTTACGTTTAAGTAAGTAATTATCTAGTAAGTATTATTAAATCTTATAGATATTCTTCTTAATAGCGCGCTTAGAGAAGAATATAGTAATAGAAATAGTATAATAGTTAATTTCTTTATTATCTAGATCTTAATTATAAATATAGTTAAAGAAGATAATAAGAGTCTTACTATAGAATAAGTTTACGCTAGTTACTATTATAAAGCTAAATTATATAAACTATTAAGTATAGAAGATTATCTTATAGTCTAACTTTTTTAAGATAGCGTATATTTTTATAAAGTGCTACTTCTAGAATATAAAAGTCTTACTACTCTTTTATATAAGTAAGCTATCTTAGAAAGCTTTTTTAGCTTTTATTTTCTTTTTATAAAATTTAGTAGTAAAGTAGTAGTTAAGAGCTTTAAGAAGGTTAAAGTAGTTCTTAGCTTTTTTAATATTATAGTAAATAAGGTTCTACGTATTATCTTATAGCTAGAACTTTAGGTATACTATACTAGTATAGTTATTAATATAAGTATTATACTTATTAATAGCTAAGTAATACTACTTCTTATAGTTTTTTTTATTATTATCTTTACCTATAAAGATAGTAATATTAGAAAGATAGAAGATAACGCCTCTACTAGTATCTTTTATAGATAAGATAGCTTATATATATAAGCTAGCTACTAGTGTATCTTTTTAATTCTTACGTTATAGGCGCTAAGTAGAAGAATTATATTATAAAGTAGAAGAGTAGTTATAATAAAGTATAGAGAATTAATTATAATAAAGCGTAGAGAATTAGTTATAATAAAGTATAGAGAATTAGTTACTTTAATTATAGTTAATATCTTTATAATACTTTTACTTAATAATAATAAAGTAGTATAAATAGTTAGAGTTATAATAGACGTAATTAGTTCTAGCTAGATAGAGTTTCTTATAATTAACTTAATTAGTATAGTTATAATAAAGAATAGTAAATAGGTAGTAGTTAGACTTATAAGCTTAGAGCTTTATAATAATAGTATTATACTTATACTAAAGTTATTTAGTATTTTTATAAAGAAAGTTATACTTTTTTTTAAGAAGGCTATAGTTAGCGTTCTTATTCTATTAGTTAATATAGTACTATATTATCTTTTTCTTTTCTTTAGTAATAAGATTCTACTATATAGTAGTAAAACGTTACTAATTTTTAAGTTATTAAAAATAGTAATTAGCTTTAGCTTTTTTATATATAATATTATCTTTAAGCTAAGTAACTATATTCTTAAGATCTTTAATATAGTTATTATTATTAAGCTTTTATTTCTCTAGATATAGAATAGTGTTAGAGTATTTATAAATAGCTTTAGTGTCTTTAGCGCGCTAACTAAGAAGCTTATTATATTCTTTAGTTATAGTATAAAGGTTATTAGTAATCTTTTTAGTATTAGCTAGAATATTATTATTAAGCTACTACTACACTAGCTTAAGCTTTTTCTTAAAGTTCTTAATATAGTTAAGCTTCTTATTATACTACTAGTAGAGAATAGTGTTTAGTAGTAACTTATTTTACTTAAGAAGCGTATTATAGCTTTTAGTAAGAAGTTTAATAGCTATTATAAAATAGATAGTTATAGTATAGAACTACTATAGATATTAGCTAACTACGCTACTAAAATAAAAATTATTAGAGATAGTAATATTTAGAATAAAGTTTTTATTAATATTATTATTATCTTCTATAAGGTCTTAGTCTATTATAAGTATAAAATAGTTATTACTATTATTATAAAAAACGCTAAGTTCTAGCTATTAGCTAGATTCTAGAGATACTTAAATACTCTCTATACTATTATTACTAATAACTTTAATATAGTTTCTTTTAATATCTAGATTAATATAGTTATAAGTTTTAGGCTCTTTTAGTCTAGAACTAGTTACCTCTTCTATAGTAGAAGATAGAGAGTAAAAGTCTAGAAAGCTACTATAGTAGTAGTTAGATTACTAGATTTTACGTAGCGTAGGTAATTTCTAGACTATAGTATTTTAAGTATTCTAAGTATCTTTACTCTAAAACTATTATATAAACTCTAAGAGTTTACTAAATAATAATTATTCTTAGAATATATTATTTAAGAATAATAATAATAATAAAATAATAGTTAGAATAAAGAACTTCTTTTAGTTATAAGGTATCTCTATTTAATAGTGTTTATTTATTTATTTACTTATAGATATTATACGTTTTAGTACTTAATATATAATATATAAATTTACTTTAACTACTTACTTTTAGTAAAATAAGCTAATTCTTTACTTATTATATTATAATACTTTTAGTAATAAAGCGTAAAGTTCTATACACTTACTTTCTAGTAACTAAGTACTCTAATAAAGAGCTTCTAATTAGTATATATTAGTTACTTTACTTTATATTCTCTAGTTATATTCTATAGACACTAGTAGTATTAGAATTAGCGTAATTATCTCTTAAGTAATAGTAGAGTTACTACTTAATTTAGATAGCATTAGTAAAGCTATAAGTACTTTAGTAATAGTTTATATAGCTATATAATAGTTCTTAAAATTATATAATATTAAATAATATTAAGAAGTGTACTCTAGAGTTATAATTAATTATAAAGAAGTAAGTATCTATACTTAGATATAAAGTAATATAAAATAGTATAATAGTTAAGTTATATAATAAGTAAGATTCTGTGTATAAGTCTATCTAAGCGTAGAACTAAACTTTAATATTTTTTACTTAATTAGAGCTAGATCTAATTAGATAAAGATTATAGGTTTAATTCTTTATAGTAGTTACTTAAAACTAAACTTTTTTACTATTATAATAGTTATTAAAGTTTCTTAAACTAGTAAGTATAAAAGCTTTATAGCTATTTTTAATTAGCTTAAAAGTATAAAAAAAGTATAGTAAAAAAAAGTTACTTTATAAGTATAGCTTTATAGTTTTAATACTATTTCTTAATAAAATAATAAGCTTATAAGTATAGTTTAAAAAAGTAAAGTATATACTAATATAAAAGTAACTATTAAAAGTAGCTATTTTAAATTTTTAAAGTTAGTAAAAGTAGTATAATAAGATAAAGTACTAATTTAAAGTTTTAGGTAATAAAGTATAAAAAAAAAAGTAAAAATTAAAATAGTAGTATTTTAATATAAAGTATATTTATAAACTTTTCTTTTACTACTATAACTAAATTTTATAGCTTTAGTTATATTTTTAAACTTAAAAAAGCTTATAAAGTTTTATAGTTTTTATTATAAAAGTATTTTTTAGTAATTTAATAATTTTTTTATTTATAGCTTATTTTTAAGCTAAAAAGCTTAAAACTATTAGTTAAGCTTTTTATAACTTATAAGTAAGTAAAAAGCTTATTTTTTTATAAATTTACTTATAGAAGAAAGTGTTTAAGCTAGAAATATTTGTGTATTTAACAAAAATTTAGTTAGCTCTAGTAGAGATAGAAGGTACTGCAAGGCGATGGTTCGTTCTGACATCCCATCTTCTATCCATTCTGCGACAGAGTTTTGGTCAATGCCATGACGAGGAACACCGAAACGACTCAAGCGCGAAAAGACGTCTGCCGCTCCGCCCGATGAGTCTCGATACATCAACACAGTACCACTCCACTCGGCTTTGATGTGTTCGTCGCTAACACCCTCCTTGATCATGTCGTAGATGTGTAATCCATTCCAGTGCGGGTAGTCGCCGGCTTCAGCCTTGAGACGGGCGTAGAGTAATATTGCGTGTTTGTAGTGATCCTCTGAAGCCATGGTACTGTGAAGTAACGATAGTCTGTCAGTAACTCATTCGATGACACCAGTCTTTGTAATCGGAAGGATATCGACCTTGCTCACGCGCTTCCAGCAGCAAGCGACACGCGATACCTTTCACGCGTCTTGATATCGATGCATGACCCTCTTCAGCATGTCAATTCACAAGCCCTGCCCGCATGCTTATTGTTTGCGTATTCGTCGCGCGGACGACTCGTGAAATCGACGGGTCAGATCAGCGACGCTCAGGCTAGAATGGATGCAGTAGTACTGCCCAGAGATGGCATTCTGTGTGCACACTGTCGCACACATCTCGACCGCTCCTTCGGTGGAGATAAAGAGTATGGATGCATTGCGACGCGATGAGCGAGGCTTATGCAGGTATTGGATTCGGGAAGGAAGTCGCTCGGTGTCGACGCGTCGGCAGTGACGTCATAACGTACTAGCTGCAAACCTCGGCCTCACCCTGGCACCTTGCTTTGTCCTCTTCCATCGTCACATCACCATTTCCTCACATACACTTACTCATCTGACTATCGTCGCACGCTCGTACGGAACTCGTGGACGGATACAATCTCTCTAGGCAAACGCCCTCCATTCGTATAAATCGACGCGCTTCGTGAAGACACTCAGTAAGCACAACCAGCACATTTGGATATATATCTTTCATCTTTTCATTGCTATAGGAAAAGGCGACGGCCTGAGAGGGCCAGAGCATCCGTGTCTCGTAGCGTCACTCACGTCTTGTTCAATCTACAGCACTACCTCCAGTCCGCATCTTCCAGCTCGTCGGCGATAGCCGTTGCCATAATATCGTCCCGGCGAACACGTATCCCCAGACCACCTATATTACACCAATTCATCGAAATCCGCTAAAAGCATCGCCACCACCTTCTCCACCCAAGTTTCACTCCTTGCCCTCATTTCTTGCCACTATCGGGCTCAAGATCCGTCGCCTTGAACACATCTCGAGGCTTGAGCTCTGCCTCTGTCACCGTCTTCTTGGGATCGGCCTTCCTAGTCCTCAGCGCGTCAGCTTGCGCTTTAATGCGCTTATAAGCAGCCTTCTTGTGAACCTGAGTGCGCACACCATCCATGCCGCGAGGATCACCAGGATATGTGGCCTTATCCAGGGCCCTATGTGCGTTCACCGAGTCAGTGGCCTCGTAAAAGAGGGCACTGATGTTGTCCGCCCAGTAAACAAGGCCCTTCTCGGCTATGATCTTGTTGAAGAGCGCTATGATGACCTCGCGCTCTGCTTGCGACCAGGCATCGTTCAGCTTGCGGTTCGGGCCATGGCCCTTCTTGGTCTTCGGCTTCACGGTCTTCTGGGCGGTCTTCCGGACGGCCTTCTTGGCGCGCTTCTTCGGTGATGCTCCACCCTCGTCCTCTTCTTCCACTTCCGCGATGTCTTCTTCTCCATCCTCATTCTCGTCTTCGCTCTCATTCTCCGCGGCTGTGGTCTGCCTAGTGCGTTTCGTGCCTTTCCGAGGTTCTTTCGCTTTGTCGGCGACATGAACTTTGCGACCGGACTGACGGACCGGTGGAGATGCGTTGTTATCGTCGGGGGCGGCGGTGGGCTTTCGGGCCCTTCTGCTTTTCCGGCGTGTAGTCTCCTCCGTGGCTGGTGCGTCTTCTTCCGCCGGCGAAGCACTCTCTGTAATCTCAAACCCGTCTTCGGGCGGAGAGCTACGAGTGGAGCCTTCATACATGTCGTCGTCAGAATTCCCGGTAGCGGTGCGATTCTCATCCGTGTCTGAGCTTGTAGGACTATGTCCCAACGACTTAGGGAACCTTGCGCAAACGATCCGGTACAGGAAGTCGAACATCTTGTTGTTCTGCCTCGGGTCTTCGATCGGCAAATCGATACCAATCTCTTCGCGGATCTCTCGGTACTTGTCGAAGACTTCCTGCTCAATTATCCACATCTTGCCCCTCATGAACTCCCCGGCCTTCATCGCCTTCCGCGCAAATTCATCCGTCTTCCTCAACGCCCAGTGTACCAGCTCTTGCTGTTTGAGTAGGTATTCTTCTTGGCTCCGTTGAACTGCATTTGTGTTCTGGTCGGGAGTAGTCTCGGAGGTGTGTTGTTGGGCGTCCCTGAAGAACCGGCGAAAGACGTAGTAGTAGCTCGGGCCTGTCGGCGGGAGTACTGTACAGATGTGCAGGGTGGCGGCGGCGAGCGCAAAGCCGGCTTGCAACTCGATGAAAAGGCGCTCATCAACGCTCCAGAGAGTGCGCATTACCTCATCGGGAACGTCTTGGGTGGGTGCGGGTGCGTCCAGGGAGCGGCTTTCTTCTGGAGACGCCGCGTCTTCGATGCTCCGGAGAGTGCTCGCTGCTTCATCGGGAACTTCTTGGGTGGGTGTGAACGTGTCTCGGGGGATGCTTTCCTCTGGAGACGCCGCATCTTCGATGTTGCGGGAAGTGCGCGCCGCTCCATCAGGAACATCTTGAGTGGGTGTGGATGTGTCCTGGGGGCGGCTTTCTTCTGTGGCCACCGAATCTTCAATGCTCATTGGAGTGCTCGCAGCTTCATCGGGAACACCTTGAGTGGGTGTGAACGTGTCCTGTGGGCGGCTTTGCTCTGGAGACGCCGCATCTGATAGGATGATGTCATTCATGATGCCTATGCGAAGAGCTTTGGCGGACGCTTCGTGTTGAATTAAGGCGCTTAGAGTGCGACAAAGGGTTGCGGGTGTCTTTATCGAGTTGATTGTAGGTGGTTGCTAACATGTAGCAAATAGTTACCGACTACTCACTGTTGTGATGGTCAATGCGCGCTGGCTACCTTGAGTTCTCAAGCACGCAATGGATTAGCGCCGTCGATTTGTCGCTTTCACTACATCATTTGGCGTACACTGTTAACAGTCGAGTACCAGATCTAGTCAAGCTCACACTACGCTGATGATCCGAACTTGAAGGAGACAGCAAACATCAATCATACCCACTATCTACGGCCTTTCCGCCTCGTCCTGATACCAATCCATAATCTCTTCATCCCCAACAACCACAGAACCATCATTACCATCCCGTTGCAAATCCCTAACAGTCTCAACAGTCCAGCCCCCAAGCACACCAAACCTCTCCCGCATATCCTCCAACAACACCCTCGCCCGTTTCGTCGCAGGACTCTCCGAGCACTCTCTATACGACTCCGCAAACAAATCGCCGTCATCATCACTATCGTCATCATCGCTATCACCAGGGTGATCAACACCTTCCCCTTCGTCGTCGCTGTCGATGTTGTACGCCCAAGGATTCCCCAACAAATCGGGGTTCACATTGCCCGATCTCGAAAAATTGGCATTCGAGGTTACACATGCCTCATCTTCATCATCCGATAACTCATACTCCCGTCCTGCATCTTGCTGGCGCTGGCGCCGCGTCTCCCTAATATGCGATTCCTTGACCAGGAAAGTCGAGAATCTGTTCCTTGATTCATGTCGCGGTGGCAAGGGAATACGCTCACCGTCTCCATCGTAAACCCAAACGGGCGTTGCTATCTGGCCCGGTACCCAATCTCCAATCCATTCACCGTTGCGGTCCCGACCTTTTACCGCTCCATCGGCAAGCATCTGGTGTTCGAAGACGAGGCCTTCGCGCATGTGGATTTCGCGCTGGTAGTGTGGTCTTTTGTCGATTTTCTTGATACGCTGTCCGTTTTCGGACTTCTTGTAGCCCAAGAATCTTTTTCTGCGGCTGGGGTCGGAGGGGCTGTGTTCGGGGTCGTGTTCGGGGTCGTGTTCGGTGTCGCTGAGGGGTTCGTAGACGTGGTCTCGCGTTTTTATGGTCTTGAGGATGGTGGAGACGGGGGTGTCGAAGGATGTGGGCCAGTTGAAACTTGTTTCTAGACTGCCGTGGTGGGTTTTGTGACCTTCTGGTAGTAAACTGATTGTGAGCGGATTGCGGCTGAATTCCTTCTCCTTCTCGGCTCTCAATCTCTCGTACGCTTTTTCGTCGATACTCCATGTAATCGCCTGCATTCTACCCCTCCTTTCGAGCCGCATATCCCGGCTTCTCTGCGCTTTCGTCCGATACTCCTCTTCATCCTCCGCCCTATCTATCTGCTGCCGTCTCACACGCGGAAACCTTTCTTCGATATGACGACGGCGGTGGTGATAGCGTGGCGTACTCCGCGGCGTAGTACCACGAGGCGGTTGGCTATACCGATGCGCATTCTCAGGAGCCACAACGCCAGGAACGCGCTTTCGATATCCGAGACACGCTCCTTTGTACAGGTCGATCATGTGCTTTACCCATACCATGTAAGGGTCGTGGAAGGCGTCGGTGTAGGCGTTGATCTTCGTTCGGTCGAGCTTGTTCTGGTTGTTTGTACCGGGCTTGTGAGTCTTTGATTCCTGGGCCTGGTGGGTTTTTGGTGGTCTTCCTACTGTGTCCTCATTTGGATCCGATTCTCCGCCTTCTCTTCTTGCTTGCGCGCTGAGCGATCCAAGTGCTTCTTGATATCTTTGCTCGGCAGCTGTTTCCCTGTATATCTTCCAGGGATCGTGTCCTCTTCTATTCCACACATTCTGGTAGTATAGGAAGTCTTCCCAGGCAGATTGCGCGTATCGGTACTCGACGAACTTTCTCCATGTCCTGTGCTCGTCGTGTATAGCCTCGCGCGTCCTCCTTTCTCGTAGTACGGCTCTTTTCATCGCCGCTTGTTGCGTGGCGTCATGGATGATGCCTGTTTCTACGTCCGTTTGTCGTTCAAATGGTTGCCATCTCTCCAGCGCTTCTTTGTTGTAGTCGTCGATGGTCTCTTCGATCGCCGGGTCTTTGGCCGCGGCCTCAGCTTCGCGTAGCCATTTTTCCAGAGCGGCCTTGGTTTCAGCCATCCATGCATTGAACTCTGCCGGCGTCGTCGGATTAGCGGGCCAGTTTTCTTGGACGGTAGGATTAACCAGCAGGGATGATGAAGCTGTCTGCGCGGCCCCAGGCGCATCCTTGGTTTGTGATCTAGTCGCCGCCACCATCGTGTCAGGCACTTTTTCTGAGTCGTCCTACGAAGCGTTAAATGGTATTGTGCGGAGCGACAGGTATCTCGAGTATCGAGGACGATACGGACAACGTAGCCATTTTCAAGGTCGGAGTTTTCGCTTTGTTCGTCGTCTTTTTGAGTGCCGGTACCTCCCGATACTAGGGTGCTTTGTTTATGATAAAGAAACGTTTTCAGCGTCACATGGATGTCATCGAGATAATGAATAGTGCACAGTGTATTTCATTGTTCTAGCTAGGAGTGGCTAGTGACCAATCCAGTAGCTTCGTAGTTGACGAACTTTGCGCTCCAACACCCGACTTGCTATCCAGCGGCATCATCAGCATCCTCATCTGCTCCATTATGCCTCCTCATCCGTATCTTCCCCCGAGGTCGTGATATCTGAATCGTAGGCCACATCCTTTTGCATAGCTGCAGCCCGATCATGCTTCGCTTTCAAGTTGGGGTCTTTGTCAGACTCTTCCTTGATCTTCATCTGTCGCGCGCGTTCGACTGCGTCATGCATTCGAGGGATGGCAGCTTCGCGTGCGTCAGCCAACTCGAGTTCGTCCTCCGATAACAGCCTCTTCTTGTGGAGATCGCGGATGTCACCTGTGTAGCCGAGGGGTGGAATATCAGCGGTGTTGAGCAGGGCAGTAACTTCCGCCGCTCCGGCTCTGCGTGCAGATTTCTCGTGCCAATCCTCCACGTTGACCATCTTGCCCTTGCCCTCATATTTTTCTTTCAGATCCTTGTTGAAGAACTCGCGATTAAAATCCTCATTTGTCTGCCTCTGAATACGGTCTTCAAGGTTCTTCTTGGTTGGTTCGATCCACGCATTCTCACTAGGCTTCTTGTTCTGCGCCTCCCGATGCGCCTTAATCGCCTCCTCGTTATTCTTGGGAAGTTCGGTCCATGTGTAGCCTTTAGCCTTGAGATCGGCAATGACGTCTGGATGAGTGGATATTGGTGGTGTCTCAACGGGCTTAACGACTCGCGGCTTCGACTTCGGTTCGGGCGCTTCCGTCGTTTTCCGTGAATCAGTCATCGTTTCCTTGGCGGGGCTCGTCTTCTTGGTGCTTTTCTCTGGAGGAGGTGGCGAAGAAGAACGGGCGCTTGACCTGCCCGAGGTGGCCTTACTAGTACTCCGCGTGTTTGGTGCGGGATTGCTGGTTGTAGGCTTTGTTGTTGTAGGCTTGGTGACTGTAGGCTTAGTTGTCGTGGGCTTAGTTGTCGTAGGCTTGGTGACTGTAGGTTTAGTGACTGTAGGCTTGCTTCCTGTAGGCTTGGTGGTCGATCGTTTGCTTCCAGGAAACTTGCTGGCTGTGCTGTGTCTAAGCTTCAGCTTGACTATCAGGCGCTTAGCTTGTTGTTCGCGCTCAAGAATCTCCATGCTTTCGAGTTCTTCGTCGGTGTCAGGTGGTGTGGTAAGAGTAGAACCATCGGAGACATTACCGTTGTCTTCTTCCTCAGCTTGCTGTTCGTCTTCATCTTCTTCACCTTCATCCTCAGCTTCATCTTCATCTTCAGCTTCATCTTCTTCTTCACCGTCTGCATCACCAGCCGCGGTAGTGGGAGAAGTACCGACAGCTGGTTGCCAATCTCCTTTGATATACTGCTCGATTTCGTCGTCGGTAATGGTAGGCATCCATGTATCATCCTTCTTGCTCTTTTTGAGCTTAGGCTCGAGTGCTTTCATACGATCTCGCAGGCCACGGATTTTGGTATCAGCACGGTTGAGGTACGAATTCAGTCCACCCGGGGGCCTGGTACCGAGACCCTCCTCTATGAGTTTGCCGCTCTTGTCCCGAATATCGGTCCGGTCCTCAAAGTAGTCGTTGAAGGCCTTGTAGATGAGTTCGTTGTGGGGCGCGACGAACGTGTCGGTCTTCCCAGTGGCAGCTTCCAGGAGCTTTTCGTGGAACAGCTCGAGATAGGCAGTCTCGAATGGAGTCCATGGTGTGTGTGTGACTTTGGGAGGGAACTTCATGTTTTGGACGAAGATTTGGTTGCGCCACTTGTTGATGTCCCTGATGTGGTCCTTGGAGTTCCAGTCGATATCAGTCGCTTCCCGCCTTTCGTATGTAAAGACTCGATCTTTCTCGTTCCTGTCATGTCGATGGTGGAACGTGAGTGTCAGTCGATTTGCCTGATCCTTACCGACGACTAGCGTCGAGCGTTCGTCGCCGTCTAAGATCTCCCATTCGAAGTTGGCGTCTTCGTCTGGGGCCTTGACTGCTTTTGACCCGGGATGCGCTGGCTTCCTCGGCTTCTTGCCGGTGCTGGCTGCGGGTGGTGTCTCACTACCGCTCTTCTGGTTTCGTGGAGATGTGCGCGTGGGAGTACCGCCAGTCTTGGCTTTCTTCGCGGGCTTTGGCGTAGTAGGCTCTTGGTTCTTTCGCTTGGGAGGCATCGCGGCGGTACTGGGTGGTGGATCGTTACAGTTGATAAACGTGAGCAGCGAGTATGAACTTGGAAAGCAACGGATGGGAAGCGGGGTATAAAGCTAATGGAGAATCCACCAGAGTGACTGAGAAGCCTAACTTCTTGCTGTAGACCTTTCACGAGTCGTCACTAGATCGTTGTGAAAGATGTGAAGAACAGTGTAGCAAATTCCAACGGTAGTCAAAGCTTGTATCCGAAAAGAACGACATAGTGAAGGAGAGCGTTTATCAATCATTGTATGATGGAGCACTGTTTCGGCCAAGCGATGGTACTTGCTAGAAGTCGATGTATCAAGTTGTGGATGGAGCGCTTTGTTGTTTTCCGGATGGTGTATATAGGTCCAAATTTGAACGGCGAATCGCTGAAGTGGGCAAGGTTATGACAACGCGCGGAAGGTATCTCTTATCTCTTCCGCGATGAAAGGGTTTGCGAAGAACCTAAGCTTGCTGCTGTTAGTCGGTTATTATGATATTCACGTGGACCTGATTGAAATTTGTTCTTAGCAAAGTGCAAGACACCACGAGCAGGAGCATACTAGGATGTAACAATGATGAATCAGCACGTTGACACTATTGAATAGAGTTCTACCGCGTCCAGCAGTCGGTGTAGCCGCCAGGTATGATGTGTGGTGATACATGTCCAGCATATGGAAGATTTCGATCACGGTAGTCGTCAACGGAGATAACTGTAGACTCGCATCAGCGGAGAATACCACTGATCGTCGCGATCCAGAACCTAGACTACGCGAGTACATCTAGTTCGGCGCGAGAGACGGAAAAGATGGGCAGTTCGTGTGGAGCAACTGTGCCGTAGCAAGAGGCGGTCTGCAGGGGCACTCGAGTAGTCTCTTGTTAATCCCTGGAGGTGTTGAGGTACTATTACCACCCGTCCCGGTTAAGCGATGCCAAGCACGACGGAGGACGCTGCCGACTCAAGAGGGCATGGGAGGAGTGCAATCGCTCGATGCGGACGGAGGGGGTTGGAGGGAGGGCTTGGTGAGGAGGATGCGGAGTGTCGGCGGCGGTGATTGGCTCCGGCGCCGAAATTAGCGTGGGTGTTGCATGTTTACGTCGCGTGTCCCTCGTGCACGCCATTTGCGCGTGCATGGCTGTGACAGCTGCCAGTGGCAGCGTCGTGACATCAGCGCGCCCTCGCGCAATCAGTGGCATCAAGGGCTCGATCCATAGGAAAAGCGGAGGTGAGGTCGGTGTAGGTGGGATGCGGGGCCAGGGGCAGCAGCTGGTCCCGCCGTAAATTAAGCAGCAAAGGCGAGTGTGGACCCTGACCAAGAGGGTCTAGCTGGCTGCGGGCCTAGTCCAGGGCCTCCTTGATGCTCCTTTCGAAGGCCGTTGGGGAAATCATTCCCTCTTTTGCGGTCCGTCGCGCTCTTTTCGTGCTGCCGTGAGCTGTTGCGCCGTCGCTCTGACTTTCTTCTGTCGCATGAATGCCGCCTGCAGAGTAATACCCAGAGAGTCACAGCGTGCACGACTCAAGCCGGCGCCAGCATACTAATTCCACAGAAGTGAAACACGCTCTACACCAGCACCACCGAACCGAGCGCCACAGGTAAACAGGTCTGTCCTTTCTACCTGCCGCGGCGGAGAGCAAATTTCCGCTCCGTCATATCGAACCACCACCGTGAAGACAGCAAACATGTCCAGCGGAAGCATCACCATGGAGGTGAAAGAAGAAGCCGTCGAGCGCGCGCCCAGGTCACACGTGGACAGCTCGCCGCTGCCGACAGACTCGATGGTCACAGTGCCCCTCTCCGAGACGGACGGCAGAACCCCAGAGGAAGAGGAAGGCGCGAGGGAATCGGTGATGCGGCCAGAGATTATAGTTGAGGAGCGAAGAGCATCATCACGAACCAACTCAACGGAAATCCGCAATGCCTTCGGACGCCGGGCGAGCCAATCCAGTGTCGACACACCCGCCCCGACCAGCCCTACCATCTCAGTGCGGGACACCGACGCACCCGTCTCCCCCAAGACTGCAGCGCCAGACTGCAGGGGGCGCCGTACTAGCAATGGCTCGGGAAAAAGCGAAGAGGTCGACTGGGCTGAGCTAGAGAAAAAGGAAGAACAGGAGCCCGAGGGCGAGGAGGAGGTGTGTAGACGGCCCCTGTGTGAACAACGAATGCTAACATATCTAGGCCATGGCCCTGCTGCTCGCCCGACTGGAGCAGGAGAACGAAGCCATCCTCTCAAACTCAAAGTCCAACATGAAGGTCGCCCGCGCCCGCAGCCAGTCCCGGCCCCCCTCCTTCAACCAGCTCAAGCGCCTCGTGGCGGATGACACCTCCACCATGCGCTTCTCCCAGCTGCCCTCGCCGCCCCCGATGACCGAACTCGAGTTCTGGGCTGCCCTCGTACGCGACTACCCGCAGACCGTCCACAGACTGCCCACGCTCTGCTTGAATAAGATTCGGGGAGGCATACCAGCGCCGCTGCGGGGCGTCGTCTGGCAGAGTGCAGCTGGCTCGAGAGAGAAGCTGATCGAGGACCAATATGACTCGCTGTGCGGAGAGTCGAGTCCGTACGAGAACATCATCAA